TGTTTGGAGTCGGATACTTTTGTACAGCGATTATTTTTGATTCGTCTGTCTCGATTCCTTTCTGAGATATTTTGTAACCTAAATATTTTAATTCAGGGGCTGCAAATTTGCACTTTTCGACATTAACTTTTAGACCGGCCTCATTTAATAAAGAAAACACCTGTCTTAAATCCTGTACATGTTGGTCGAGATTATCACTAGTAATAATGATATCGTCTAAATAGATAAATGTGGACTTTCCAAGAACAGGCCTTAACACAATGTCCATACATCGCTGAAATGTTGCCGGTGCCCCTGAAAGGCCAAACGGCATACGCAGGAAATGCATAAGTGCCAGACTTGGTTATAAAAGCAGTCTTAGGCACGTCCTCAGGCCTAACCCCTATTTGAAAATAACCAGTCGTTAAGTCTAAAGTCGTCATATATTTGGTAGAAGTTATGTTCCTTAGAAATTTCTTCAATAATAGGTAACGGATATACCGGATATTTAGTTATGGAGTTTAATTTACGGTAGTCAATAGCGAATCGCCACCTTTTTGGATGTGTCAATGGATAGTCATTATTTTTCTTACATAAAACCACCGGGCTAGCATAACTACTTGAGATGGGCGTTATGATCTTTTTACGTAGCATATCGGTGAATATGCCATTCTATAATTTTTTCCTTATTCTTATCATACCGGTATGGTTTGTGGCGCGAACTGGCATTGAATCTCCGGTGTCAATACTATGGTTAGTAACTTGAGTAAATCCTGGAATATCACTAAATAACGAAGCAAATTCACTCACTTACCACTTGTCGGATTCTTTTTGTTGCTCTTCCTTAGGCAGGTGGTCAAGGTTTAACATTGGCGGTTCTGTTTTTTCTTCTCGAACTGGTTTCATCGTCAGCTTAAGGGACGCTTCATTAAAATCCAGCGTTGCTTCTGCCTCTGAAAGAAAATCTATCCCTAAATGAATATGTGCTTGCAAATTCTTTACTATAAAAAACATAACCTTTACTTGTTCGTCCTTGATACGGATACGTATAACGGTAATTTACCTATGCACTTACATCTTTTCTCCTTGCGCCGCTAACACTGTCGTATTATCCGAATTATATATGCGGTATTTGCGAAAATACTTCCTAAAAAAACTCTTCTGCCACACAGGAACACTGCGCGCCTGTATCCAGGAGTGCGGTGGCTGGGATATTATTCACCAACACTTCAATCTTCGGAAGAGTCAAATTTTTCACCATTACTGTATTTAACTTGAAGGAAGAGGGGTTTTCTTGGCCTTCGGATTTCCGCACCCTCCCGTCAGCAGAAATCCGTTTTAGTTTAAATCTTTTTTTCCTTTCCATGCTTTCCTTCTTTTTCCACTGGCCTTGAGACTTTTTTGTGGATTGCTATTGAACTGTCGACGTTCGCCGGCTGTTTTTGAATGCTCGGGTTTCCTTGCCCACTGATTCGCTTTGCTTCCGTAGCCGTGTGCTTGACTTTGCTGTGGTCTTGGCGTCACCAAATTGGTTTCGCTGTTGCTCATATTGGCGTCTTCTTTCAATGTCCGCCGTTCTTCTACTTTCAAACTGGATTGCTAGCTCAAATAACTTTTCCAGTGTAGTCGGATTCCTTAATTCAATAAAGTCTTGCACTTGGGGAAGTAACCTCGGCAAAATCACTTGAATTATCTCAGGATCCGGACGGTTTCCATACAAGAGTTTGAAGACGTGAATTTTTCTTAAAATAAAGCTTGAGAGATTTTCATTCGTTTCTGATATATGCTGAAAAGTTCCGTTTCTAATTTCGCACGATCCCTTACGACAGGGAAGGCTTTTACTAGGGCAGTCTTGAAATTTTCGTAAGTATAGGTGGGACTTCCTGCTTGACCCAAGAGACTTCTGCCTATACATTTGAACCAGTTAAGCGCTTGGCCCCTCAAAGCGCTGGTAGCTAAGGTAACTTTTTGAAACTCGTGCACGGGGTACAGCATGAAGTGGTCATCCAATTTTTCCAAAAAACTGGTTACCGGTGAGTTTCCATTAAATGTTGCTTCTGGTTTCATCGAAGCGCGCATGGTCTGGACGATGTAAACAAATCCTTCCAGGGCGGCAGCTGGCATTTCTGGATTCTGAGCCGCTTCTGCAGGCAGCACAGGTTCTTCTTGAAACTCGGCCATGGTTATTCTTCTTCGTCGGGCGCCACTATCAGGTTCAATGTTCCTCCTTACTTTCTTTGGGAACATTAAATGACCTGACTCGGAACAGGGAGAGCTTACTAAAGCTATGTTCAATAATTTGGGAAGTAGACAAGGATACACACGGGAAGGGTATACAAAACCCTTTATTTTTCTCTCTTTACAATGATTTCCGTACTTCGGAATACAGAGACCAACCACTTGTGGTCTGAACGTAAAGAAATATAAAAATAAACTAAACTCTAACTTAACTTAACTTTGAATTAATAAACAAGTGCCTACTCCAAGATTGGCCGTATATTAACAGAAAAGCCGTATGTAGTACAGAGAACTGTTAACACTACAATACGTTTAAAATTATCAAGAGGATTAAACCTCTGGCCTGGAAGGCAAACCAGCAACCCAGTAAAACTTCTAAGGTAAGCGGCCTGCTTCTAACTCACTCTCCTTCCTCTCTCTGCTTGGCAAAAAGCCACAACTTAAGTACTTGGCGTTCGCCAGACAAATTTGCATAAATAAGTTAACGCTTTTAATTCTGGCCGGAAGTAGAAAATAAGAAGTGATAGTAAAGATTTAAAATAAAATAAACGTTAGTAAAACTTAAGATCCTTACAAGTTCATAACAGATTGAAGGTTTTTCATTAGGGAATTGATGGAATAATATACCTATTCAGAATAAAAGAATTTTTATCACGTAATACTTTTTAGTAAAAATCTAAGAAATTAAAACACTGACTTCATATTATTTAAGAATGAGAAAAGGATTCTAGATAATTCGATTAATAGCGTGGAATTTGTAATCGAAGCACCATCATATTAAGATTAAAATAGCCAAAGTTACTTTTAGAGAATGCTAAGTGTAATTTTGACAATTTATATATCACTAAGTATGTCAGTTTATATCAATAAGTAAAATTTAATCTAAAAACAGTTAATGGTGATAAATATGTTACTAAATGCTGATAAAGATAAATTCTCCAACTAAAATTTAATCAAAAAATCCAGCCACTCATCCTAACTTGCTTTATGAGGATTTCGAATGGAACTCTCATCGGGATTCGATTCCAGACGGAACGAGCTAGTTGCATGGTTGGTTTTCATGGTTTTCCCCATGTGTAACTTGAATACGGGTCAGTTGTTTTTAGAAAGTCTTTCACGAAGACATCTCTTTCCTTAGGTAGATACCTCTAGAATGCTATGACATGCATAAATACCCTAACTAATGAATAAAATTTATACTGCTGCGTACGTTCGGGTACGTAATGGATTGAATGGTGCGTGAGTTTGGGTACGTAATGGATTGAACGGTGCGTGCGTTCGGGTACGTAATGGATTGAATGTACACAGCGTTGATAATAGCTTGACTTCACTATTCTGGTACTTTCCACAAAAGTAATCGTGCAACCCTTCACAGTATCACAGAGTACAATCAGTAATTACACTTCAAACTAATGAGAATGGTTAAATATAACGTAGTTCAAAGCGCATCTAAAAGGCGGAGCTCTCAAGGATATCTCAATACAGCTATCATTCAGCTCTGGACTAGGAACTACTACTCAGAAACCGATGCTGTCTATAGTCTTATATACTTTTCTCCCAGCCGCCGAGAAATTTCTAATACCTTTCACTTCTCGGTGTGGATCGCACAGCCGTCCAGACGGTATAGCAGTTAGATGAGCCTACTGCTGTACCGAAAGGTCTGCGTTCGATTTTCAGAGAAGGCATGGATGTTTGTAAATGTATAGTGCCTTTGCTGCATAGGGGCACTCTAAATATATGGCGAGGCGAAAGTGCTCTCGTGTGGTTTGATCATGGAGGCAAGTATAAAAGGAGTGGCCAACCCCACACTACGAGGGAAGCATTGCTCCCAGGCTTTGATCTCCAAATTGGTGTGTTTTTTGTTTACATCCAGAGCTTCCTTGAAAGCTCTTTGATAGTATTTCCACTCACGACAGCACGAAAAATCGAAAAGCGGGACACTTCCGAATAAAAGAAACATACATGGTTAGATAGATAATATAAATTTGTATAGTGACATTTACGCAAAAATCACATCTTGGTTATCTTTCGATAACTTGCAACAGCGATTTTGCGATACCTTTAAAATTGTATACATCTTGCACTACCCTTGATAGAGTATTCGCTACTTTTATTTTATGTTCCTAACTCAAAATGTTTTAAATAAAATACGTGTTTTGTCGTCTATATATTATCATTTTAATTTTATACACCTGAAAAGTAATCACTTTGGGTTTACACTTTAAGCTAACTAAAAAATGGAAAAAATAAAGTTCCGTTACTACTTTTTTTAATTTTATTTAGCAACATGTTTAATTGAAGACTAAATTATGAATGACAGTATTTGAGTAGTGGTCTGCTATTTTTGAAAGAGTTTCAAGACATAAAAAAATGCGTCATTAATGTTATTGATCGGTATATCAATATACTTTGCATATTGTTACTTCTGAATTTTCAGGTATTTGTGAATTTAAATAAATTAGTAGTTTTAACGGTATTAAAAAATGAAGCAATATTATGCAGAGTAAGGCAATCAAGATTGCGATCTGATGACAGTGAGGTTAATGTTTAAATGTGAAATGGATAATCATTATTATCAAAGAACTATTAAATTGGGAAAATCGCTAAAAGTGGCAGAGCCCTCTCTGCCAATTACTAGAAAATTTGAATTTGATAGTGAATGCATCCTAAAACATGTTTTAAGTCAAAGTTTGAAACTTGATGGATAGATGTAAATATAAAGTTATGCATGTTAAAATATTTGTAATTAGGCATATACGTCAGGTTAAGTTTTTATTAAATAGGGTACGGCATGCAAGGGCTGTCTACCTAAAGTGAGAGATGCCACCGCGGAGGAATTTCGAAGGAAAACTGACTTTGAGTGAGTATTAAAAATAATGCATGTAATTTTCATTCACATCATATTTATACATATTTCTTATGTAAAAATTTCTGATATATGCTAAATTATTGTTAATTACTTTAATCGAAGAAGACAGTGAATGAGCAGAAATTAAAGATTTGCACACGCCGAAATTGAATAATGTCGATATTTAAATATATATTTAAATTTGTTAAATATATATAGGTATTTATACATATGCTTGCAAAAAGCATGTATCTGTTTTTAACAAAATAAGTAAATATTTATTAAATTATTTATAAATGTATTTGGAAATTTATTCATTCATAAACTCCTGTGAAAATTGCTGTGAAGAAATCTAGTTACTAAATGTGTTTAAATTTATAATGATTATAAATATTATCTACATATATAATAAACTTAACATTTAATTTTAAACATAAATTGAAATTCTGTTGACAAATACGTTTATAAAACTATTTAAGTAAGAATTTTTCGTACTGGAAAGCAATCTGTTAAAAGGTATTGTACAGCAAATTCTCTGAGATGCGCACTTTGTACTGAAAGTAGTAAAGAAGAGTGTTTTTAGAATATGTATTGCTGAAATTAAGGATAAAAAATATATGATAAGTATTGAAAGAATTATTTCTTTACATTTTATAATATCTCAATTACAAGTTTTAAATAATATTAAAATAAAAGAAACCTTTGTTTATTCGCTTTCAGAAATATTCATAGAAAGTTACAAGCATCAATATTTAACATATTTCACTATTAAAATAAAAAGTACCCTAATTTGAAATAAAACGAACATAGCATTAATTATAAATTGACTCAGATTTTCGATTTAAAAGATGCCTCAGGAGTTAAAAAAATCATCTTATATTTGAGGAAGTACTTTAGGAAGAAGCTCTTAAATAGAAAAGAAATAATGCGTAATTTTAATCTTAATAATACAATAAACGTTGATCTTAATTTTTGTAATCCTTAACCATATAAAACCGAATTAGCTTGAAATTGTTTTCTAATATAATTAACGAAAACTTTTGAAAATGTTTCATTCAAATTAAACTGTTCTGAAAAAAATATAGCATTTAGTTCGGTTCAGAATGAAATGTTGTTTATAAGTGCATTCTTTTCACATACCTAGGACTCTAAAATATTGCAGAAAAAGAACATATATACATACGACGTTATTACAAAATGTTACATCTGATCATGTCAAAACTCACTGATCTTTTTTTTTTTTTTAAATGGTAAGTCACTGAATGTTTTGGTATCCACGAAGGAATCGCCACTGTTTCAAAGCAATGAATGGGGAAAACGAGTTAGAGTCTCTCCTCTTAGTTCCTACCTCCATGGGTTTGATACATGGAGGTAAGAAAGGAAGGAGTGGCCAACCGGAACTAGAAGTGAAGCACTGCTTCGAAACTTCGGTCACCAGATGGGGCGTTCTTTGCTTACATTCAGAAGCTCACTTGACAGTGTTCTGATAGTATTTCGATACACGACAGTTCCATACAAATCGAAAAAGGGACACTTTCGCATGAAAGAAACATTCATAGTGTGATGAATAATAGAAATGTGTATAGTTTAGTGACATTTACGCAAAAATCACATCTTGGTTATATTTCGATAACTAACAACAGCGATTTTGATTATGAATTTCTTTTATAAAATTCTAAGCTGTTGGACTACAAAAATATAAATTTTAACAAAAATGTTATGCTTAAAGAATGAAAAATACCTTACGGTACCTTTAAAATTGTATACGTCTTTCGATACCCTTAATAGACTATTCGCTACTTTTACTTTATGTTCCAAAGGCCAAAATGTTTTAAATAAAATAAATTTTTTTCACATCCATATATTATTGTAACATGTACCTTTTAAAATTTTTTAGAGGAAAGGCTTTACTGCTGCTCATTTTAAACTCATCATTTTAATTTTATATATCTGAAAAATAATCCCTTTGGGCTTACACCTTTTACTTATTTGGGTTAATTAAAAATAAAATATAGTGAATGCACAGAAATTAAAGATTTGCACATGCCGGAAATGAAAAATATGAAATATGTATGGATATTTATGCATGTGCTTGCAAAAAGCATGCATGTGCCTTTAACAAAATACATAAATATTCATTAAATTATTTATAAATGTATTTGAAATGAAGAATCTATTCATTTATAAACAACTGTGAAGAAATCTAATTATTAAATTTATCTAATTTATAATGATTATAAATGTTATCTAAATATATAATAACCTTAATATTGAATTGTAAACATAAATTGAAATCCTGTTGACAAATACGATATAAAACTATTTAAGCAAGAATTTTTCGTACTGCAAAGCAATCTCTTAAAAGGCATTGTAAAGCAAATGCTATGAGATGCGCACCAAAGAAAGTAATAAAGAGTTTTAGAATATGTATTGTTGAAATGAATGGTAAAAAAAATCTGATAAGTATAACTAAAAGAATTATTCCCCTTACATTTTATAATAACTCAGTTACAAGTTTTAAATAATAATTAAAAAAAATCCTTATTTTATTCCCTTTCAGAAATGTTCAGAGAAAGTTTTTAAGTACTATTTAAAGTATTTCGCTAATTTCTAATAATTCCCTAATTTAAAATGAACCGAATAGAGCATTAAAAGATGCCTCAGGTGCCAAAAAATCATGTCATATTTAAGAAAGTATTTTAGGAAGAAGCTCTATAAATAGAAAAGAAATAATGCATAATTTTAATATTTATAATATAATAAACTTTGATCTTAATTTTTGTACCTTAACCAAATAAAATCGAATTACCTTAAATTTTTTTTCTAATGTAATAAACGAAAACTTGTGAAAATATTTCATTCAAATTAAACCATTCTGAGAAAACTGTTCTGCGAAAAGTGTAGCATTGAATTCCGTTCAGAATGAAATGTTGTTTAAAAATATGTTGCTTTCATATACTTAGGACTCTGAAGTGTTGTAGAAAAAGAAAATATATACATTTATATGTATATTTACGACGTAATTACAAAATATTTACATCCGATCGCGTCAAAACCTATTGAACTTAATGGTAAATGGCACAATGTTTTGGTCACCACGTAGGGATCGCCAGTGCTTCAGAGAAGGGTACGGGAGAAACCTGCTTAGGGCTACTCCATCTTACTTCCTACCTCCATGGTTTGATGGTAGAGGAGAGAAGTGGGAGACCCCTGGAACCCTGAGATTGCTGTCTTTCAAAACTGGGAGAGGAGTCCAGAAGCAGAAGTCCAACAACCTGGAGGCTCTGGCAACCAATCTTCCATGAAATATGGACTCGACAACAAGAACAACTGGAAAGCATCTGAGAACCAAATACGGTTGCAGTTACCTATAGGATCAATTTCAGTTATTCAATTACAAAACGCACTACTGTTATTTAGGGACTGGACCAAGTTGTCGCCATGTTTGACAACGTTTGGCGATTTCTTGTCAAATCTTTGGACAAAAACTAGTCGCCGAGACCTTCACACATAATTTCACTAAAATTATTTAAATATGTACAAAGTTCTTAACAGTATGTTAAAATTCTCTTTTATATCTCTAACAATGGAAGTTGCTTTATCGCATGAAAAATATTGTAAGTGGTACAATTTTCAGAATTTTTTAGAGTGATTTAACGTTTTACTGGCTCTGAAAGATCAAAATCTTTAACAGAAAAAAGAATTAATCACTTATAGTAATTTTCTTTATCTACAAAGCCGTATAATTACTTAAATTTTTCACTTTCATTAAAATATATTACATTAACGGAAGTAACTTTAGCTAAAAATCTTAAAATTTTTAAATCCATTGGAGTTGGAATCATGGATTTATAGGTAGTCATTTAAGATATAATTATTTACTTGCGTTGCAATCTTGAAATATTTCGGATCGGGTGTTTTCCAATAAAAGTATACGCAGATCGAATTTCAATATAAATCTGCTTTTATTAGACGCAGCAAGGTTGTATGTGTAACGTACTGCATTCGATATCTGTAAGTGCAGTCTCACTGCAGGATGTATTCAACTTATTCTTCTGCCGGCTACAGACACATGGGAGTTCCTTTTAGCACAGTCTGACGCCGCTTTTTAATATGTTTGTGGGTAACCAAAGGAGGCTTTAGTATAACGGTCTTGGTTGGTGGTGTAACGCGAAATTTAACCTGTGTTCTCTCTCCTCACTGATCTGTGTCAAGTAACCTTTCGTTAGAATAGGCACAGACATTAATAATATTCCCTACAGAGTTGGTCTCTTAGAATTAACTAAGCGCAATTAGAAAAATGTGGGTCTTCCTAGTAAATGAACATAAATTATCATGCTTTTCAGTTCAGTTTGGGTATAATGTTATTTTTCGACATCCTCTATTATATTTACCTAATGTTTGGTTTCTGATCAAAATGTATGATAATGGTTAAATATTTCCATGTACTATTTCTAGACTTATTCTTTTCTTAAAACATTGAGTATTAGTTAAATCAATGTAACTGTTATATAAACATATTTCCACCCCGCCCAAGCGTATATGTTAAAATATATTACATATTAAAATCATTCAAATGGTTAAAAATATTGAGAATGTTTGAAAAATTTTTTATAACGAAAAGAATTTCACATAGCATACTTTGGAACTGTAATAGATCTCTTGCTGCACCCATTGAATATTTTTTTTCTGAAATTAACTATGCGATGGCTAGATCAAGAAAGTAAGCTAATTTCTTGCCCTTCAGAAGCTGTGATTTTTCCTCGACGAATTAATTTTTGTTAAGGGTGCTAATAATATTGAGAATGTGGAAAACTTATAATCCTATGGTTTATTTTAAATACCGAGATCGAAATTTACGGGGGCGCGTTATAAGCCGAGTATAAAAATGATAGATTGGAAAATAAGAAATGAGGATAAAAAATTAGATTTCTATATGTACCTAAATGCTGTTTATTGAAAAGAAATGACATACCTCATGAACATAAAAATTTTTATTATAGGATAACATG